TCTTCGCAAGAGCTGAACTCAACTCAACACTTTGTTTTCCGTTCTTCGTACCGCTCCAAATGTTTACTCAGTTTGTTTACCGATCCGCTGTGATCACGACGGTCGTTCGCGACGTCGACTTGACCCAAATACCAGACTTTCGCTACAATCCGGCCACCATCGACCTTACAGACGGCGCGGTGCCCTTTGATCATAAAGCTTGATCACTGTTGTCAAGAAATTTTCGCCACATACGATAAAGCAGGAAGTAGGGTCATATCCCCAACGAAAAAAATAATTATTAATTTCCCATTTGTCATTGTCATCGGACAATCGATCGGCCCACCCTCTGTCGCTTCTCGTCAATTCCCTGTACTCCACATTTTGAGCCTTCTGATGAAAGGGTGTGATTCCATTGAAGCAGTGAGTTACTAAGATACTCATAATTCATAATATTCAATAAAGAAGTGAATTTATGCATGATGTCATCACGTGTCAAAGGCTTGTAGATTTTGAGCTGAATTCCCGCGTAAAAAACTCACAACCCGTTTAAAGCAGTGAATAAGAAATAAGTATATTATGTTGCAAGTGATACGCATGATTAATCGTAACCTCGTCATTTTATACAAATTATTCAGAAGATGGTTGGTCATTCGACGAGCCACCCAGACGACCTGTCAAACAGGTATCGATCGATTTCACGACTTTTTATTGATTGCGGTTATATGCATCGTAAACGAGATTGGCTGGTACGGTTGCGATGATAAGAATCTCGTGATTCACGCTCGGCTTACGGTCAGTTTGTCTCACGAGTTTTAAGTCTGATTGGTTGCAAGATGCGGTTACAGTGGTTGTTATTGCTTTATTTTTTTTTCGGTTATACCTGCGTTTTTTTTTGCGAAAATGTTTTTGAGTAGGAAAAAAGGTAGGAGTGGTTTTTTAGAAGAGGGAAACAACTCAGATAAGGTTGTTTTTTGTAATAATTTTTTTCAATTTATAACAACATTTACTCTTCAACATTGAACCGTGGGCTGGTCGAAACTGTAAAATTCACATTCGTATCTGTTTCTACTTAGTCTTACCTTTAACTGCAATGCACACAGTTTTTTCTTCAAAAATCAAGGCTGTGTAGAAAATAAAGCTGCAGTGGTTTCTGCTGTCACAAAGGATGTCAGGAACGTTCTTCAGAAACGTGTTTTAAAAAAACTTCTTTTTGATACTTTGAAAAAGTTTTATTTCTAAACAGAGTGTACAGTGTGGCACAAGTTATCTAGTTTCGACCTGCGGCGGTCCTCCTTAGTCGTACAGCAACAACACTAAACAACATTGGTTACACCATCTGGTGATTATGACATTGAAAAGGCAACTGTCGCATTGGTCAAGCCGAATCGTAACCCTCTGAGGGCCTCATGTCCGACAGCATGACCGTACCTACCTCCTGTTCTAGTATGACCACACAGCATGTCAACGACTGACTACTCGTTTCTCAGCTAGTTTCGCCTAATCAAAGTGAGGTAAATTCCCAGATCATGATGACTTGACTCATAGTTGTTGTACAAAAACAGTTCTGTTCTGTTGGTTTCCTTTTTTGTCCGTTCCTCAAAGTAAAACGCTGCAAATTCTTTAAGGACCATACTTTTTTGAAT